TTTGTTTTTTCTTGGTGTGGCTTGGACTTTTTTAATTTATTAATTTTTTGGACTTTTTCTTAAGTTCCTAGTTTCACCATTTTTTTGTAAACTCACGTACAAAGTAAACCCTTAGATTTCTGATTTTGGATATGTAACACCTAAAAATCCCTTGATTTATCTTTGTAAATGCTATATGCAATTTTCTCTGATATTCAAGAATTGAGTACTTCGAAACGAACACTTAACAGATTATTCTGAATACAGAGCGAGTTCAAACTATTGGTCAGCAATTGTTTTAACAAAATTTTATCCTCTCGGTTTCTATGTTTTTATTCACAATTGAACACGTTTGTTTTCAAAAACTGCATGCTTTAAAATTCCTTAAAAACTTTGTAATTTTTCAAACTTCCAATCGGCATTGATAGAACTCAAATGTTTTTAAATGTCTACAAAAACTCCTGTATCTTCTGATGTGGTTGACTTTTTAATTTAATAATTTTGAACTTTTCTAGTTCCTTTGTCCCACTAGTTTTTTGTAAAATCTCAAAACCCGCCTACAAAGAACTCCTCTAGATTTCTGATTTTGTAGCATGAAACGTACAAAAAATCTTGATTTATCTTTGTAATGAATGGAGTTTAATTTCTCTGCCTGAAACTATGCAAGACACTGAACGGAAAATTTAACAGATTAATTCTTCGAAGGTACGAGCGATGTTCAAATATGGTCCAGCAATTGTCAAACAAATTATCTGGTTCATGTTTTATTCACAATTGAAAATGTTTGTTTTCAAAATGCAGCTTTAAAAATTTTCTTAAAAACTTTGTAATTTTCAAACTTTCAATCGAGGATTAAGAGAACTCAAAAAGTTTATTAAGGTATGTTCAAAAACTTTGTTTATATCTCTGATGTGGTTGCACTTATTTGTTAAATTCTTATATTATTTGGACTTTTTGTCAATAGTTCCTTAGATTTTTCAATAGTTGTTGATTGTAAAATCTCGAGACCGTACATAAGAAACCCCTAGCAATTTTCTGATTTTGGTATGTATGAAAACAAAAAATCTTAAGATTTTATCGTTCGTATGAAATTGCAATTTCTTCTCTGAAACTATGTCAAGATACTGAAACGAAAATTTAAACAGATCCATTACTTGAAGGTACGGCGAGTTCAACACTATGGTCAGCAATTTTCAACGCAAATTATCTGGTTCATCGCTTTTATTTATCAATTGAACAATATTTTTGTTTTCAAAATGGCAAGCTTAAAAAAAATTTCCTAAAAACTTTGTAAAATTCACCACTTTAGCAAGCGGCATTTAGAGAACTCCTAGAAATGTTTTTTAAATGTCTAAAAAACTTGTTTTTCTGGGTGTGGTTGACTTTTTAAAATTGTATGATTATGTTGACTTTTTCTAGTTCCTTAGTTTTTCATAGTTTCTTTTGTAAACCATTCAACGTACAAAGTACAAATTTCCCTTAGATTTCATGATTTTGTATATGAACCACAAAAATCTTTGCATTTATTCCTTTGTAATAAATGCGATTTCTTCTGAACTATGCAAGATACTGATAACGAAAATTTAACAGATTATTGTTTGAATGGTACCCCGCTCCGCGAGAGTTCAAATATGGTCACGCATTGCTCACAGCATAATTATCTGGTTCTTCCTCGCACTCACAAAATTATGTAAAACCTATTCACCTTTGCATACCCGTGAAAATCCTGTTCCCCGAAGAATTACTCATTCCATTGCTAAGATAAAAAAATTATTCACTCTTCTACCTTCCTCTTATCCCCAAATCGCAGACACTTGTCCCGTAAACAAAAGATTTTCCAAGAATTGACCCTAATCTGTCTCTTGACCTTCGCCAAGATTCATCTCTAATTATGCCATCTTATCCCCTTCCCTCTTACTTCCTTACTCCCGGAACTTCGAAATAATCTGTTTGTGTTCAACTTCTCCTCATTTTTCGCGTTCTTGATAATTCCGACCTCAGGAATAATCTCCAATACTACCTTACGTGTTTTTGAATGGCAATATAATCGCTGATAATTCAATATTATGAATGGCAGTCTCTTGAATGAGTTTGATTTTATGTCCTTTCTACAAAAATAAATCAACAGATTTCTCTTTTTCGGTTTTCCTCTATACAAGAACTCCAGAAATCTAAAAGGGTTCTATAGTACGTGAGAATTTCAACAATACTGCTGGGAAGAGACGTGACAGAACTGGGTATCCATATATTAAAAAATTAAAGGGGTCAAACTACAATCAGAAACAAAACGAAGGGATTTTTGAAGTTGTTTCGCTGCTTCTCCTCATCCGATCTAGTATCACTCTAAGAACAACTCTTGGGCTCAAAAGTATGCCTAGAGATCCTTTAACTGCCATACTCTTTTCCTATGAGCTATTCTTTCGGTTCCTTGCTGCTACCATCAGATTCTTTTCTCACGTATTATGTATCAGTTTCCTTCGGCTTTGGTCATCTTTGTTCGCCTGGCGCCTCCTCCCTTTCTAGCAGATTGTCAAATCTTCATTCTCTACCACTTCTGATTTCTGTGGCTTGTAGTATTTTGATTAACCACAATACAGCTTAATTTATGTCTAATTCGACACCCTCTCTCTTCCTCCAGCTATAAGCCGTTGAGTTGTTCGGGTATATATTCTTCTTGTTTAGTTCAGCGAACGTATAAACCTACCATCATGTAACTGATTTTGTGGCGTGCATCTATCGCCTGTCTCGCATAGCTCGCTTTTTCTGAAAATTGAACCCAAATTTAAATCTGAAGGAACAAAAGTATTAGTGAAATATACACAGTACTGTCTTTGGTGTAGGGGGATCATAGTCCCCCATTAGCCGGCTACAGCGCAGTCATTGTCTCGGCCTGTACTCTTGTGAGAGTCCTCGCGGCTCGGTTTCTTCCCCCTCCTTCTTTTCCCCCTCTCGTCTCCCTCTCTTCTTCCTCCCCTCTACTCTTCAGTTTCGTGATCACGTACACAACACTTCCAATATAGCCCGATGACCTGATCTTGCGCTGTAAGCACGCTATGGGGGACTCTCATTTGCATCCCCCCCTGCTCTTCTCCCCTCCTCTTCTCCCTCCTCTTTCCTCTTTCTACTAACACCAAAGTAGAGTCATGTGTATATTTACTTATACTCCTTTTTCTCTGTGTCCTTCAGTAAATTTGGCTTCGATTCAGTTAAAAGCCCATTTACCATGCACAGTTCTATTTTTCTCGTACATATATCCTCGCAAAAAACATTACTTTTTTATTTTTTATCTTCTTTATCTTAAGTTAAAAACTGAACTCTCAAAAATTTCTCTCCGGGCCCATTCCATCATTTTCCAGGCAACTTCGAAGGGCCATGGCAGCCTCCTTTCTGTAACCAAATCTTTACTAATACATAACCCCCACCCCTCCTTCCTCACCCTCCTCCTCCAACCCCTTCCCGGAACTAATTATTTAGCCCTCTCAAAAGAAACCCATCATCAGCAGCCGAGAGGGTACCGCCCTGAATTTGTCAGAAAAAATTTTGATCCGAAGAATCGTCCCTACCGCACTCCCCCCTCCTACCTCCTATTTCAGACCATCCTCTAAATTAACCAGAAACAATCTAAATCGTAAAAAACAACTTCTTCAAGACGCTGCCTATGGTGTTATAGAAATCTTCCGTTTCTGTCTTCACTACTAAATTGTCTAAATAGAAACGCTCTCCTTTTTTCCTTTCTTTACCTGACATCAATTGTTCCATTTACTTCAATTGAAAAGACTTTGATCACGTCAATGTTCTCTACAGCATTTCTTTAGATCAGAAGTAACTTAATCTATCGTTCCATTGACTGGCTACCTAATATTTTTATTACGTACAAGTACTCAAATAACCATTTCCCTTCCCCAACTCATCTCAAAACCACCTGGAAGTTTCTTTGAATTATCATATTCCTCATCCGATAATTTTCCTGGACTGTGCCTGCCACACCTCCATCATATAGAGGAACCCCTCATCAGTGGTTTTACATCATACCCTCACCTGATAGGAATACACTACTTGCCATGATCATCATGGTTCCAGTTAACAACAATAGAAGGTTCAGTGTGGGTAATCCTCACCGCGCGCTCCATGCCTTGGGCCCCTTCCTTTTCATGCTAGTCGTAATATGATTTTGAGTTGTTCGCTTACGAACAATGTCTCAATCAATATCTTATTGTATGCAGACGAACTACTAGCATACATGTCTCTGCATAAAAGACATTGAGAAACTGTGCACATTGCCACTTTAATAATCTGAGGGCCTATAGCAACTTGCCAGAAGCTGGACTTGCGGCAAATCTATGCTAGTTTCCTGTACCAACACTCAATAAAACGGATTATGGTCAATTGGTCAAAGACGAATCTGAATACATATCCAGGGGGAGATAAACGTTGGAAATAATGGAGGAAAAAATCCAAACGAGCCCATTGAAGTAAAACTATCCTCTCCGCCAGTAGTCCCACTATTGATGAAAACCTACTTGGACTACAAGCACGTACATTTTCAGAGGCTTAAGTCGTAAATCCCTTAAAAAGTCGGTCCTTTCTTCGTTGAGGATCATCTTCTTAACAAAAACATACTCCACAGTCGAAATTGGACAGGTTTTTACAGGGCACTTTTTGAAAAGCCATCTAAGATACGGTGATCAATTAATGGGAAAGTCTGTCCGCTACAAAAGCTTGAGCATCTTCAGCCGTCTTCGACCAGGGCCTCACACTATTAATTGAAGTGCTAAATTTGGAGGACGGGTGGAATTGTAAATGCGCTTTCAGTTCGAACCTAATTATATATGACAGGGCCATAATAACGTGACAAAATGATGAATGGTCTTTCTTTGCCCTGACACGTCCCCTTAAAGGTAAATTAAATCACTAGTCGAAGATACCAGGTATTCGACCCTTTCTCTCTCTCTTCTTTTCTTTCTTTTCTCCAGTCCCTCTCCTCCTCTTCTTCTCTCTTCTCTCCTCTTTTCCCTCCTCTTCTCCCTCGCTCTTTTTCCCCTTTTTCTTCCCTCCTCTTCTCGCTCTCCCCTCCTCTATTCCCCCTCTCTTTTCTCCCCCTCCTCTCTCCCCCTCCTCTTCTCTGCGCCCTCCTCTTCTCCCTCTTCTTCTCTGCCCTCCCTCTTCTCCCCTTCCTCCTCTTCTCTCCCCTCTTCTCTTTCGCCTTCTTTTCCCTTCCTCTTCTTTCCTCCCTCGTTCTTTCCCTCCCTCTCTCCTCTCCGCTCTTCATCTCACGTCTCTTCTCATTCGCCTTCCTCCTCCTACACCTCCTCAGTCGGCATTAGATGTACCGCACTTTCCTTTGGCGCTTTCACGTATCCCACTACTCTGCATCCATACGTTCAGGGCACGTATAGAATCCACCAGGTTTGGTGAGTTGGTGGACCCTGTGGTTTAAGCAAGGAAGCGAAATTGCGTACAGTGGCACTGCGATACGCTGTCTGCCTTGTTTGTGTCACTCCAATAAAGGGACAGCACTTCCTCCACTATACGCTACGGGTGGGTCCGTTATCGGGAATACTTTTTTTAAACAACATGGGATCTGGAAACCTTGGACAATAAGATTTGTTTGCTTTAATTTGCCATGATTTTGAGGGAAAATCTGATTCTATTAACCATTAGTCATTTAAAGTATGTTATAACCGAAAACTCATCTCTACATATTCAAGAATGGTTTGTAACGTAATGGGTTATCTTGGATCTTTCGGCGGTGTTTCCGAAGTGCTTTGAAGTTTTGTCACCAGTCAAGTATGTTTAAGACTGGGGTTCTAATGCCTTCGATTTCTGTTATACTGTTTTGTGTGTTTGCATAGTTGAACTTTTTTCCTGGATCGGTATTTCTATACCTGAGAAGAAGATGTTTAAGGCAACATAAGGAGAGATGAAGAAAAGATGAAAGTGTAAACAAAAGTGAAGAAGAAAGAGAGATGAAAGAGCAACATACTTGTCAGTGACGTTTTACAAGATAAACCAAAGTAAAGACTTAGCCTGGACCAAGTCCTTATTTGTCCCAAGTCTATTAAGAAAATGGACTTCAAATATGTAATGTGTTGGACTATCAAGTAAAAGAAAGTTCCCAAGTCATACTTCTTTAAGGCCTTTTGGGCTTTTACCCCTGGTGCTTGTCTTTCTCATGGGTGAATAGCTAGCTCTTTTTGGTGGTCTCTTCCTTCCTTCCTTGGGCTCTGCAAAACATTGTTATAACGTAGTAACAGTAGTTGCAATATTTGTTATTCATGTGTTTACAATATTCTAAAGCTGGCAGTACTTCAACTATATTTAACCAAAATAACAGCATACCTAATCAACAACTCTGGAACCACCCTCTTTCCATTTCACAGAGTTATTGTATATTTGTCAAACAGGGCGAGAACCACTTTGCCCTAAAACATTAACACCGTATCATTTTTTAGCTTTTTCCCAGTTAGTGTCATCAGACTGTATTGCAATATTCTAAGCTTCTAGAGACACAAGCAAATACAGAGATGTTGTTATCTGGTTAAGCTCTAATCTTGTGATTTTGCTAAAGAAAGTTACAGTTAAATAAAGCATTTTAATTTGTAGAGTGTTAGCCGCACGAAGGGTATTGTGAAAGTGGAAGACATTACTTTCAAAAGCTTTGATACAAAGG